TCTCAACAAACTCAGTGCTTTTCTGCAGGTACTTTACAACAGGTCCAACTCGTTGGTAGAGGCACCTAATTCAGTCCAAATTTGTTGAGAATAATAAATATGCTATGACGAGGGTTTATTGTTATCATTACATTGTATTATATATTATTTTGACTGAGAATAAGCAACGGATGGATTTGCAGTAAACTTCTTAAACTCTACAGAAGAATACAGTTATTCAACCAGAAATTCCTCTTTAATCCAAATTAAAAGCCTAAACTGGGACCTCGGAAAAGTGGCCTCGTGCAAAAAAGTCCAGCTATCCAAGAGTTTGTGTTCACCTTTTCTATGACAAATGAACTGAGCACACATAAGCCTTCCACAATCCTCACAATAAGAAGAAGATTTCATGAGGAGTCAGTCACTTCTATATTCCCTTCTTCGCGTAATGAAAGAAGAAGTGCAGTCGTATAAATTGAGGGGTGGGTGTAACCTGAGAAAATGAGGTTCAAACAGCTGTGAATCTCAGCCAAGATTCAAGGCAGAGCCAATACAGTTTGGCTCTGCCAAACTGTCAAACCATTAGGTAAAATAATTCTCAAATAAAGAGAAACTAAATGTTTGAACCATTTTCTCAAACCAGGGCTTATACATTTCCCTACACAGAAACTTGACTTCTTGCAGCAGCAGGGTAGAGAGCAGCTTGCCTTTTAAAGATTGTATATTTAACTACCCAGTTTGAAATCCCCATCCCCCCTGCAGCATAAAGCAATAAAGCCACCTGGATTTTGCGCCACAGGATACCTTCTTCATAACCGACCTCATACATCGTGAATGTGCAGCCGGTCGGTTTCGAAGCCTTTGCTAAACATGCGCCTGCGGACATCAAAACAAACGCACAGGTAAAATTCTCACACACAGAACTGGGTGTGTGCTCTGGTCTGGCGCTCTGAACTTGCCGCGGGCCATAGTGAAACAAATCCAAAACCAGGCCACTTAGGGAAACAAATTTCCTGCTGTTATTGTTTTAGAGTGGCCATTAATGGTTCTTATATGTGCTGTGTATTCTTCCTGTGGCCATAGGTTCCTGTAGGTAGCAGCAAGCTTCCTGTCTGATTTACAACGGCATTAAAAACAAAATGTTGCCATGGGGGATGTTGGTCAAATTGTACAGCTTCATCTCTCCCCCAAAGAGGAGACTTCTTCCTTTCTTTTCAGGTGGGAATGCAGGACACGGAGAACTTGAGACTCCCTCTGCGCTTCCGAGGTGAAAAATGGATCTCCAGACAGGTCCGTCAACACCACCAACATCACATAAATAAAGCTGTACTTTCTATATTTTCTGTTGTTATAAATAGATTTTTGCAAGAGTATTCAAACTCCTACAGCTTTCAACATTTTCTCATATTAGAACTGCAAATTTCAATGTATTTGACAAAGATTTTATGTGACAGACTGGCATACAGCTGTACCCAATTTTCTTAAAAATATTTATAACCACAATTACAACTGATAGGTTTTTGATGTACAATCCTTGTATATTAAGACACCGACGTTGTTCTTCTTTGACAACCCTCTAAAACTCGGTCCGATTAGATACAACTGGAATTCCAGTAAAACATTGCAGGAGCTCGTAGAAGAATGGTTGCCTCTATATTTTCTGAACTTTGTCTCTACCAGAATAGCACATGGAGATACTAAAAACCTGTTTAATGTTCTTACAAAATGTTATTTTTGTGAATATCAAACTTGAAGTCAAGTAACAGAATCTAATTGAACTCCGTCCTGCACCATTCACAAGTTCAACACTTTCACCTAAAACTCAAAACGTTTGCACCCTCCAGCAAGTTTTCTTCAAGTATTTTCCTGTATTAGCCTCCGTTCATCTTCACATTAATTCTGACTACCTTCACTGTCTTCAAGAGAAACACGTCTCCACATACATGGTGTGTTCAGGGTGATGGGCAGTGTTAGTTTTCCACCACACACAACTTTTTTGCTTTCAACAAGTCTTCCAGCCGTATTATGAAGTGCAAAACTAATATTTTACCAGGCAGTTGAACACAATTACCTGCCACACTTCTAATCTCTTTACTTGTAAAAAATTAAGTTGTCATCTTTTGTCTATCTGATTTGCAATTATGCACTTGGTCTACACTCCTGAAAGTGGAAGCATGTCCCCTTCAGAGTCGGAATGACCCCGTATCTAATTGAAAGTGATCTGATTGCACAACAGCAGGCCTAACCTCATAACCTTCTATATACCACTAAGGACTGATGCACAGCACACACTTAACAGCCCTAACCATTTAAAGATGGGCTCTAAAGATCATGTAATTGCTTGTTTTGTGTGACCAACTGTCCAAACAGACACAAAAGGCAACCAAGGTGAAGGTCCTCACTACGAGGAGGCTGTAAAAGGAGGATCCTTAACTTTGTAGCTTCCTCCCGGTCTGGTATCAGACTTGTTAAACAGCTTCTAAATGCAAGCTGGAGAAACATGACAATACACCCTGTTCTACACAGGACACAAACAGCCTCCACATGGCTCTAATTACTACAGGCACCAGAGAGGTGTTCAAGTGCAAGTAATGAGGGTTTGTATGGCAGGCAAGCTGTGTGTAGTGTGAGCGAGACAGTCGAGAGACCGGCTGGGTGCTAACTGCAAACACCTGAAGCTTGTAAGCAGGGTTGTTCTCAGTGACAGTTTGCCTGAGACTTAACAGCTGCTGGCCCTCTTGTATCTCAGAGCATAAAAGTGTCACAAAGTGAAGACGCGAGGGGTGAAAGGGTTCCTCAGATGAAAGTGGTGGATCTAAAGACGCCGTCTCCCCATTTTTCTTAGCCATGAAGTTTAACCTTCTAAGTGAATTTTTCTCAACAAGAGCAAAAGTGCTTCTCAGAGTCGTCCTTGAAAAGCTTAATACCTCATCGTCCCAGAATCAGCTGCAGAAATGCTGCCCCCTGTTGGTGTACAGCTTTTCCTGCACGTTGAAAGCTGAGCACCCTGATGTGTCGGGCGTTACTCCAATGGCAGAAATGCCTCTCATGATGTGTGGCAGCGCGGCTCTTGCTCCCTCAGACAGGCAGAAATACCTCAGCCTGTGATACCGGAGGTGGAAAAGCTCGAGTTTCAGACGGTGGTAGCTGGTGCTAAAGGGAGAGGAGGGTCTCTTCTTACAGAGGCGTGTTGGGAGGCTTCTGTCGGCCCCCTCAAAGGCCGAGGGTCCAGAGCTCTGATATGTGCCACTCAGGCACCCACATGCCTCCGTGATATGAACTGTAAACTTTCTCACAAGCATGCAGATGGGATGCAGACATGTAAGCCAAGGCACATTCAAATACCTGCATATTATTGAGTAACTGAGGTATCGTGCGCACACGCGCGTGTGTAGCGTGTCACTTTTTTTTTTTCTTTAGTAACAGATCCTTTTTGTGTAGAGATGGTAACAAGAATGTATTGAGCAATCTGACTGCAGAGGCAAAAACAAAAACGTTCACAAGCAGACCCTCGAATCGAGGCCGAAGCAAACAACACGGTCCTTTGTTTTACTAAAGACAAAAAGAAACCACATCGCCAGACCAACAACTGAGAGGAAAGAACTGTAAATAGACTCATGAAGAGTTGAAATAGGAGATTGGATTGCAATGTACAAATTGTTTTATTCATCAACAGTCCATGAAAACATTAAAATACAGTCAAGCAAACAAATTGATATTATGTAATAACTGGCTCTGAATTAAAGGGGAAACATAAGGTCAACCTAATCAAAAAAACATCCTGTGACAACTCAGAATATATTTAAGTAAAAAGTAAAGCACTGTAAACATTTTTACTTTTTGTGATCTTGCAACCACAAACTTTACATTGTTTTTATTAGGATTTTATGTGACAGTCCTACACAAAGCGATGCATTTAACAACTAAAGATATTTTATACCTGTGATGTGTTATGGAAAACGGAAAAAAAAAAAAAAACATTGTGGAAATTAAGTCATGAAAAGTGTTGTTTGAAGTTGTTTGGGGGACACAGTACACAACACTATGGCATGTGAGGGGCAGAATCATGCTTTGGAAAATTTTTTAAGGATTTAGATTTTTGAAAAGATTTCCCAAAAACCCTTTATCCTCCTTTCCTTTCATAATAATGCATCACTTTGATGCTCCCCCACATAAAATCACAATTAAATATGAATTTCTTTTAATTAGTTTGTAAAAGAAAAAAATTTAAAAATGTTGACAAGATGTAAATGCAGCTTTCAGAGTTTAGTCGATTTAGAAATAAACTTTCGACTGTAAATACTGCTGCAGAATTGAATATGATTAATCCAGCTAAGTTTGCTAAACTTGCAGAGAAAATGTCTTAAAAATCTAAAAAAAAAAAAAAAAAAAGCCAGACTGTCTGAATGTCAGCCTCAATAAAACACACACTTACTCTCTCACGCTACCACGCACACACAAACACACATCCTGTTGCAAGAAGGCATAGGCTTTGGCCTGTACGGCTTCCCCTTCCATAGGTCAAGTAAAATATGTAAACTATCAAATACACAGTTGGTCAGCAGGTCACTCAAACAGGAGCTCGGACCTCACCCGTATGTGTGGGCACCTCTCAGCACGCACATCACACCAAACCAGCAACTTAACCCCAAATAAGAGAGATAGCATCTTTCTTAAACCCACAGGAATTACAGGGAACGGTGTGTGTAACGTGATGTGGAACACACGCCATGCCCCACCGGGGGAACTATCACAAAACCCCTGTAATAAACACCACAAGTCCAGCAGAGCCTGTCCTGAGGCGAACGTCAGCCCCCCCAATGGACACAAGCCTGGAGGGATCAGGCTGGACGTCCCAAATGTCCAAAAGTGATGTTCTGAGAAAACTCATTCAGACTTCACAAATACTCCAGTTTAGGAGCAGATCAACTGTTTGCACAGGCTGACTTTCAGCATGTTTTTGAGTGTTTTGGTAATGGCAGATATCAAAGAAAAAGAAAAAGAAAAACAGATACAGGTACCTGGAGGACAGGAGCACTCTTGGCCGACATCCCTAGCGGTCCGCAACTTCGGCATCAGAGCTGCCACTTTCTGAAAATACGCAAAACAGAGTAAGAAACAGAATATTTCTAACAATGAAACTTCTATTTGCATAGCCATAGGATGGGTTTTAATGTTGCAAGCTCCCCGTCTCTCACATACAGTCCTTAGCAAGCTTAAATGAAGACATGGGTTGATGTCTACTACAACTGGTTGTACAGATACACTGATCAGGCTTTTCCTAGTGGACACCAATTTCTTTGAGGTTTCACTTGAAGATTCAAATTTTGTTTTGTTTTTTTAAGAGGGAAAAGTATGTGCCATGTGAGTTTTGATAGAAATAAATATTTTAAATCAATCACAAAACAAGGAATTCCAGGATTGCAGTGATCTGTGCAGAAAAGTCTCATGTGTCCATGTCCTTTATTAAACTCATAAAAATGCCATAGTACGTGTTGTTTGTTGTGTTAAAAAAAAGGTGGAAAAATGTTTGATGATTTGATAGACAGAGGGGGAAAGACTAAATTTTTCTGTACTGATGATCATCAGAGCCGATCAAGATTAAACTGATATATTCCCACATAAGGCTGATTGATTGGTCTGTCTATAATTTATTGGGGAGCCTTGCAGTAGACTCTGACCTCCTTCAATCTCTAATGGCGCACGCCAGGAGATATTCCCAACCACCACATGTTGCTTTATCACAAATAATCGATTTTGATCATGTACCTCCTCCACAAGCTTTCCCACTGGGGCGCTGAGCTCTGCAAGGAGAGTCCCATCCTCGTATTTGAAAGACCTCTGCGGAGCCTGGAGGATGGACGCCTTGTCCATCTCCATGTACAGCCGGTTCTCCAGCCGCTGGGTCCTGAAGCTCATCAGAAGACACACGGTGACTGAGCTCAGAGACATGAGCAGGCAGAGAGCGATGGGAAAGCCAGGCAGCCAGCGCTGGTCTCCGGACTTGGTGGCACACTGACACACCGGCTTGCTTTCCCCGTTGGAGCCGCTGCTGGCCGTCTCCATGCTTGGAAAAACTCTCAAACGGTGACCAGAACCAAAACCGAAATCCCTTCCGTTTGTTGGCGCGGTCCTGTCAACAAGTTGCAATAAAGTTCGGTGAAGTAAGTAAGTAAGCAGCGCGCTTTGCTCAGGAACAACACCAGGCAGCAGCACAGTGGGCTCAGGCTTCAAAGCGCAATCCTGAATTTGTCCTGGAGTCGGAGGCAAGCAGCAGTGCGCGCAGAGGGTCTGAACCGCGGCGAGATGGGAGCAATGCGGAGACCAGCCAGAAAAAGACTCACATCGGAGCTTTCTGCGGGGATACGACTGGATCAGATGCGTTCCTTTCTGAAAGTTGCGCGTTAAACTGGCGTGGCTCCGCCGCCCTGCCTGACCACGTGGGAGGCTGCAGATTGACAACTGGGTGTGAGAATGACCCGCAGAACAAACGGAGCCCACTTAGGACGCGCAGCTCATTATGCGCTGACTCTCCCGAGACTAATTTACTAGTGAATCTCTCCACGGAAGGATTGAAACACTTTCAATTAACTGAAGAATTAACGCTTTTATTTACTGTTGTTGATGCAGGTCAGTGCCAAACTTAGAATATTCAGTTCAGGTCCAACCTGCCCACAAAAAAATAAATGGTAGAAAACGTGACGATTTTCCAAAATCTGCAGCTTCTATCACCACCGCGATACTTTTTTCTTTTTTAAACAAAATTCGCCCTTGATGGGAATTCTGATGAGATTTAATTCAGGTGATTGTCTTTTAATAGAAAAAGGCTCCATGCCGCCATCATGTGGATTACTAAAGGTACTGCTTATAATAAAAACGCTTACGCATTCGTTAGTTCTTTCTGGTCACGTTTATTAAGACATATAATGCAAAAAATACATAACCAGTCAATGGAAAATGGAAACAAAGACTATGTACAAGTTTTCACCCTGCAATGTAGTTTATACATCAACAATCCAAAAGAAAGCACTGTTAAGCAAGAATTACCCATGTCAATTAAATATACAAACTGAAAAATCCCATAATTTAAAGCGGTTCCACTGGTAGAAGTGTAATCATTACAATTTAAATAAACAGAAAACAAATGATTGAAATTGACATCTAAATGGCAAAAGTAATAAGAACTTAATGAGTGAGACCAAACAGCAGTTTAATGGACAAGACAGCAAAGCAGGGCAGTGTGACTGATGCAGTCAAGAGTATGTCTCTCCTGGAGAGTCAGGATATAGAGGCTGATTGAACCATCATACATGTTACGGTAACAGGTAGGTCTACATATTGAGAGGTTCCGCCTCATTTGCTACCGCCACTGCTGCTGCTGGAGCTCCTGGTGCTGCTGCCTCGGCTGCCACTCTTCCGGCTACTGCTGCTCTTGTAGTAACAGTCGAAGAAGGGGTGTCGAAGTGCCTGCTCCAGGCTGAGGCGCTTCGAAGGGTCATAGTCCATCATCTTCTCTATCAGGTCAAAGAGCAGCCGGTGGTCTTCACTTCTGGATACGATGTAATGCTGTGGGAGGAGAAGGAGTTTGAAAATGATTACTTCTACTACAATCACAAAATGAGGAAGCAAAACTGAATTTCGGCTTGAAGGAAAGCCTGCAGTTGCTTTTGTCTAAGATTTATTTAAATAATTCTATTTCCACAATTAAGCATGTACCTTGAGGGGTTTGCAGTGTTTCTTGACGTATCTCCCGGCAGAGCTGTGAACGTCCCAGTCCAACTTGTTTCGGTGAACATATCGTCGTTTCCTATATAATATGCAAATGTTTAGACTAACGTAAACACCTCATGCTTAAATCTATGCCACTTCGAGTTCTTGTGAAAAATTCAGTTGACAGAATAAAAGTTGAACATAAAAATTTAAGAGTACACTTAATCCTCTCAAATTAAACAAAGCTTTAAGCGATGGTGAAAATCCAAAACAGTTTTACAGATGAGGCAAAATGTTGCCACTTTGATCAAGAGTTTGTGCTCAATAAAAACCAATTGTTATACTTTCTTTTTGACTAACAATAATATTTTAGGTGCTTTTTGCCAGAATAACTATGTAGTACTACACTGAACACTCTTAGCAGTAAAAAATATTGTTAATGCAATATTACTCTTGTAAAATGAGTTGCGGAAACAGGAAGTATTAGAATGCCACGACCCAAATATTTGTTAGAACTATAAATGAATGCTTACTTAGTTTTCTCCAGGAGGTTTGTAGGGATCGGACCCAGGACTCTCTCCATCATAGCAAGATGCTCTTTACTGTCATGTGTCTAAATGGGAAGACAAAGCAAACACTATCAAGTACTGTAACATTCCAGAATGTATATTTCTGCTCTCTACCGCCACCTACCTGGAAGAGGGTTGTTCCAAGATAATATTCGATGAGAATACAGCCAATGCTCCAGACATCACAGGAATGGTCCCAGCCCAGGTCTGAAAGACATCACAAACCAAGTAAGAAACCAGACAGATCTGTCTAAACCTTTTGTGCTGCAACAGTAATAATACACTCACCTAAAATAACTTCCGGAGCACGATAGTGACGAGTTGAAACTACAGAGGTGTGGTGCTCATGATCATAGGTGGCATTCCCAAAGTCTACAATTTTCACGTCAGGGTTCTTGAGTGTTCGTTCATCTCGTCTCTGAGAACAGACATTGAACAAACTTGATTTCTATCTCAACATTTAAGTTGTACATCATTACCAGGCATAACTATAATCAATTTACCTTTTCACGGTTGTATTCCATGTCATAGTCTGAATCGATCAGTAGAATATTTTCAGGCTTCAGATCTGTGTGAGTCAGTTTGTTCTTATGCAAAACTGCAAGATAAAAAAGGTGAAGAAATTATAGTCAATGTAACCATTTCACAGCAAATGCATGTTGTGTGCACAGTGAATGCTACTTACATTTCACGGCTCGAATGATCTGGTAAGCCATATGCCTGATTTGTTTAACAGGAAAAGGCTGGAAGTTGTTCTCCTTCAAGAAATCATATGTGCTGAGGCCAAGCAGCTCAAAAGAGATACAAACGTGACCATGGTAGTCAAACCAGTCCAGCATATGGACACAGGAACTTGGGAGAAAAAGACAAGAATAAAGTTAGAAAAGCTGCATTGCAAACTAGTTTTTTTTTTATTACCAATTTTGCTGACAGTCTTTTGAGATAGAAATATTTAATTATTTAATGTTATAGGAAGAAAAAACAAAAACATCAAAAAGTGTCATTGGTGCTCCTCTGCTATAAGGAAAGAACTTACTATCTTCGGTCAGCATCGAGGGTGTTCAGGTGTTTAAGAACCTCTACTTCAGACATAGCTGCCTCTCTGTAGCGGTCTATATTTTTAATGATCTTCAGAGCCACTCGAGCCCCATGACTGAAATTCATTACAATTTTTAGATTAGAATAGCAAAACAAGGTTTTATTAAAACTGTATTATGGTGGCCGGGTGCTGGCTGAGAACTTACTTGTCATGATCAATGCACTCGACAACTTTTCCAAAGGCACCCTCTCCTAGAGTACACAGAATCTCATCTATGGGAAATACAGAGGAGCAATTAGACAAACAGCACTGAAAAAGTGAAAAAACAATCACCGCCTTTCATCATATTACATTTCTTTCTAGCTAGACAATTACAAACAAGATTCTGAAATCTGGCAAACAACTTGTTGCTTAAAATTTTAACTGGCAAATTCACCATTAAATAAATTAAAATGACAAGAAATGTAGTTTAACTGTACTGGGCCAAATATCTGTCTCTAAACTAATGTTTGAAAATATCCAGAAAACCAGAGTGAGAGAGACAAAGTGTGATCAACAGTAGGAAAAAAAAAAGTGTATATTCTATACATCTCGCTTTCAGCATGTCTCCATTGTGATAGATGAGGTGACCCTCGTCATCATCCTCAACACTCCTGGATCTTTTCCTGCTCCTGCGCTGATGGCTCCTCCTCTGCACCGGAACCGCCGCAATCCGCCATCACACCAATAACCCATCAGCCAGCACCCGGCCACCACAACGCGACATCGTCATTCATTCAACCAGGCCAAGGGGGAGGTGAAGGGGTGGACAGATTCAGGCCGTTCAGTAACACCACCAGACGAATGGGCGGAGCAGCAAATTCAAATTCAGCCCCGTCAGAGAAAATGGGCGTCGGCCACCACATGGTGTGTGTTACAGAAGAAAAACAACATGGCAACAAGATTTTCAGATGAGAGATTTTCTCAGAAGTACAGAAACACTTCAACTTGATTGATTAAACTTAATGTACATGAAGTTCTTTTGCAATCTATCAAACAGTTTAAATTGTCTACAATCATGACCCGTGATTGACCACTAGGATCAACTCAAAGATACTGGGTCCACTTTTTCTTGTCTATTTCTAAACACTCACAAAACCCTTACTTTCTGAACCCAAAAATATTTTACATGACATTTATCTAAATCATACTAAACTGTGAAGAGTATGACAACTATAAAGAAACAAAGAGACGGGTATTTAAGCATTGGCTAAACACCCATGATAATGAGCCATTCAATCTGGAGAAATAGAAGGAGGGAGAAGGAGTTTCCCGTACCGAGGAGGACCTGTGCCGAGAATGGCTGCGTCTGTGCCTTCTGTCTCTGTGCCTGCGACTGCTTCGCCTGCTGCGACCACTACGCCCTGAGGACTTGCTGTAGTGGTGCCAGTCAAGATCTCTGTCCTTGTAGGTGTCATCATAACTGTCATCGTTGCAGGCCACATCCAGACTGTGTTCACAGGTATATTTCTCCTGAGAATCCAGCCTCTGGTTTAGACTGCGGGCCTCCAAGTAATGCCTAAAATAAAATAAATGATTAGTATCAATACAAAACAAACACTCGAAAAGGCAAGTCGAGTCAGGTGCAGGCCAGGTTCTTGACAGATCGAGCACTAAAATCAAGACTGGATGTGATGGTGCTAATGGTCAGCCTCCTGCCTGACACCCTATCCCTGAACTTTTTATGTAACATTTGCTAATAGCAACGTGCTGATTTACAGCAACAAACGACCCTGAATCTAATTCAATGAGTAGCTCAGTTCCAACATCCAGTTTATAAAGAGATTAACGCGGCAAAAATAGTCGTGCAATGGGTCCTAAAGCCAATATGTAACTCCACTCGTTTAGGTAAATATTCGCACTCAGCCTGCCCTCCCCAAAAAGTATTTAGTGTTAGGCATTGAAAGTTGATGGTGCGTAATATAATCTGCGCTTTATCTGGTACACTTTAGTGAGCCCATATCTGCAAATACAAAACTGTTGATCAAGCATAGCAGCAAATTTAAATCTGTTTAGCTTTTTTCTTACATAAAACTTTGGTCTTTAACTTCACCTTATTCTAGGACATCAAATGCATTTCTAAAAACTTGGCACAAACTCAACCCTGCCTGCCATGTTCACACCCTAAAAAGACCAAGAAAGTCATGGTGACTTAGCACCCAGTTGGTATCAGTTGTCTGCCAAGAAGAAGTCTGCCTCTCTACAGAATTAAAATTAGAGTGGATCAGAAAACATCTGATGCAACTATATGAACCTACGTCTACAAAAAGATCTGCATTACCACACGGATACCACAGAAGGATTTACTTAATGATACTACCCTGTTACTTTGTTAGCAGAGTAACAGGGAATTAAATGCACACACAAAATTACCTGTATTGAGTGTGTATGGACTCATATTTTCAATATGAAATGTGTTTCCATTGGAAGAACCATCTGAGAAACTTTTTACATTTAATTACACTAAAAAAAAAAGGCAGAATATAATAGTTTCAAACAAATTAGCTGTAAATATTAATATATACTTTAAGCCCAATAATAGATTTCCACCAACAATATTGCAGGCTATAATTTCAGGACTTTGAAATTCTACTAATATTTAATCTGTATTTGTCTACATATATATGATTCAAACCATATGAAGTTGAATCACCTTAATGGCACAGTGTTTTAACATGAGTAAGTGCATCAGCTACTTTAAAATTAGAATTAGTCTGAAAGACTTGCTAATATACAGCAACATTGGGCCAGTTAAAAAAAAAAAAGTAATTCAATAGGTTTTCTGGTCTGTGTCATAAAGCCAATACTGCCCTCATGCGTTCATACAAAGAACAGCTGCTTAGCCATCTCTGTTGACAGTAAATTGAAATGTGGACTATCAACTCTGGCCAAGGTGACTTTTTAAAAGCAGACAAATAAATAAAAGTCAGTTCTTGGAAGAGGAAACAAGTATTTCAGGCTTGTTAGACGAGTGAATATGCATTTGGGCTCTACTGCCTATTTTACAAGCACTTATGAACACAAATTTGTTTGAAATTGCTTCATCAGTAGCTTGTTTATTGCAATACTGAGATGCAACATAATAGTAAAATGAACCACAATGCCAGTTTGTGGGATTTTTATTTTGTTAAATTCAAGATGTCTGTTGAGACTATACCTGTCAACTGATCCTAAGATGACTCTAATCAGATATTTACCCATCATATGTCTTGTTGTAACGAGGAGATCTTCTGGATCTATTCTCTCTGTCGCTGCTCGGTGAATCTCGTTTTCTGCGTTTGCGACACTCCATTCTTTCTTCCCAACCATACTCGTCTAGCCAGACACCTGGGGAGCGCATTCGCTTTGAGTGCCGCATCTGGGGAATGTGGAAAAAAAATTCACAAAGTTAGATAATCTGGAATTCATTTATTCTTTGTGTGTTATAATTTTATCACTATTTAATATAAGGCGGCTGAACTTCACAGCTAAAGCAAGAGAAAATTTAAAAAAACAAACAATAGTCCCACAAATTATTAAAAGACCAAATAACAAGCATAACTTGGGTGTCCAAAATTAAAATGAATTAATGCAAATTGCAACAGACAAAATTCTTGCAACTCGATCTTTTTGGTATTTTCATAAAGGAAGTCGTACTGTGGCTTCAACAGTAGGGAGGACTTGCAGTTTTGAAAAAATGGGGGAGTTACTCTGAACACCAACCTAATATGGATGCAAAAACTACCATGTTTATACCCGCAGGAAAAAAAATATATATATATATATATATATATATATATATATATATATATATATATATATATATATATATATGACGTAATGGTGAAGTAGCCAAAACTAATCTGAAAGAACACAAAAACTTCCTACATTACAATTTCACAAACAGCATCGTCGCTGATACAATCATCAATGGTCGTATCCTAATATAAAGAGTGAAAAGTTTAACCGTGCAATTGTTCACGACAACAAAGTGTTTAGGCCTCGACTGCAAGGCGGTGTCAACTGACGTGATCTCAAAATGACATTTATAATGCCCAGAAGTGTTTGTTTGTATTTAAAAAAAATCTTTCCTTGCAAGGTTTCAACAAAAGCAACTATGCAATTCAGTAATAACCCGATTAAACATAGATTTTCATAAGATAACCAAATCAACGACGGCCTACTACAGCCTTTTGTCGGAGCAGTACCTTTCCGTCAGTGGATCGTACAACGGAAAATACCACAAAAAAACAAAGAAAATAATATATTCATCCTGCAAAGTGTTAACTATAGTCCCCTTAATTTGCATAATACTTTTGCAAATTAACACGATTACTTTTAAAATACATTTTAAAAAATCTTAACAAAGAACCGTTATGTAACCGCAGAGAATCAGCCATGTTAGCGAGGCGTCGAATTTCACAAAAACCCAACGGTCGAAATTTGACTTTAAATGTGTGGTAAACCGCGTCTAATCACCACGTGTAGAGAATATATTACCTTTATTTATAGCTGTGAGGTTCGAATGAAAGTTAATATCAGCTGGATAATGATTACGAGCGAAGAATCTGGAAAAACGTCCGCGACTTCCAGTCCTCAAAGATGGCGACTTTCTGTAGAAGCTGCTGGAACTTTCTTCACCAAATATCCTGACGTAAGACACACATAACACCCGCCCACCGCAGTGCCTGATGGGAAGTAGAGTTCTGAACAAATAAGTTGCTCAAAGTTATTGTATTTACACATTTTACGATATGAAAACCCATTTTTGAGAACAGTCCCCTTCACATCTGAGTAAAGTTTTTGTGCTTCCATTTTATTCTCTGTTTTTGTTGCCCAGATTTCATCCTAAAATAATGAATATTATGATAAAATTCTTAAATAGCTTTTTCTTACACATTGTCTACAAAACACATGAAGAAAGAATGAGAGATGTGTGAAAAGACTCAAGAAAAAATTGTGTTTTAAAATGTTCATTCATTATGCTTTTAAAATAGCACCTTTCACTTCATGGAGCAATTTTAAACAGCTCATTTATCTTGACAGGCATGTTTGTAGTCTAGGAAAGAAGTCATAAACAGAACGAGACAAGGACGAAGAGGGAGTAGAGACAATGAAAACAAGGAGAGAACACGGAAAGTCCATGTGATATATTGAGAAATCTTCCTCCTACTCTTCCTAAAGTTAACAGAAGGTCACATCATTGGAGTTATAGCTAAACTTTTGGTAATGTTCTCTTAACTAAAGTTAAATTTTACTTTATCACAGAGTTATCACTGGCTCTCTTTGTCTCCTGTTAGTATTTTAAACTTTTAAAAATGACAGAAAAGCAAACAGATTCTATCTAATACAAATATGGTTTTGGAATGGATAAAGCGGGCAGAGATTATGCTTCTGAAGTAACCCTGAGTTGAATTCTACAAAATATTTATGGGCTACCCCTAAAAACAAAGTCGCAGAAAAACAACCCATTGAAACTAATTTACTAATTGTCATAAGAAGAATGCCCAAATATGCATACAGAATTATAACAGGTTTTTAAAGGCTACAAAAAGGGATGTATTTGAAATTCAACCTTCTAAAAATGAATTTAGCCTTGTATTAATGGGGTGTATATATTTCAGAATGCATAACCTACTTGGACCATGGGTGGTTCTGCAATGAATTCAATTTGTCCATCCACTCGTTTCTTTTTTTAATCTCAGAAGTTGCTTATTATGTTATCATCCTTCTATACTTGCTGTGTTTTTATGATGAGTCCCCATGAGCATTTTTTTTTACTGTAATTCAAAATTTTGTCTTATGAGAAAATATGCTTGTGTAACGACAACTTTCACACCTACGTGAATATACGGCGTGGTTTTGTCTGAAATAGAATAATATTTTATTGTCTTTTCCACAGTCATGTTCCACACACTCTTTAATCATACAAAGACAACATAACAGAGCAGGAAGTTCGTCGTCATCGTGAAATTGCTGTAAACAAGCCTACCAGGCTGTGCGCAGGGTCAAAAAAACCCACGTTGCCTGAACAAGGAATTGTGGGTACAAGATGTCTGCGCCCTGTCTTTAACCTGATAACGTTTCTATGGTGGAGTTCGTCAAAGAGTCCTGTTATTAGAACAAGGTTTGTTGCGGATTTCGCCGAGAAGACGATGTCTGAACACGCCGAGCAGCAGAGGGGACCGGGGTTGTCCAGGGCAGTGATCGCCGAGATGCTGCTGAAGAACTTCGAGAAGCTGTCTGACTCTGACCAGAAGTTATTCACGTACGGACCTCTGTACCTGGGGGGAAACGCTGGGTTTGCGGGGCTGGTCGCCAACAGCCTGTACCGCAGGGTTCTGAACGTCCAAGCGGCGCGCATCGCCTCCAGCCTGCCCATGGCCGTGCTGCCCTTCCTTACCACCACCGCCCTGTACAGCGGCGTGGTGTCGCAGCCGCTGCTTTCCGGGGATCTGAACTGCCCCACCTGCTCCCTGATCAGAGGCGGGCTGGTCGGGCTGGTCGCTGCTGGAGTCTACCCGATGCTGCTGGCGTTGCCGTTGAATCTCGGCCTTGCATCCAGATACAGCTCGGCTCCGATGCCAGAGAAGGGCACGATGCTGCGGTACTGCGTGGAAGTCTCCAGACCCGTCTTTAACAAGATGAGAGCGGTTTTCCTGCTACAGGCTGTCTTTGGCGGCTACCTGGGCGCCAGGCATTTCCAAAGCTACGCCAAGCTGGCCCAGATAACCTTCAGCAAGGGGGAAGAACTGCAGGAGTGAGAGGACTGGACTGAGAATAACCACCTCATTACATACGAATGAAAATCGGATTTACCTCTGGGTGCTTCCCAGAAAATAAAACGACACAGCATTTATCACAGCATTGTCTGAAATCATTTTGTCACATCATAAAACGGAAATGAACCTCCCTATTGCAAACAAACTCCTGGAAATTCTGGTAATGTTTATGACAGATTACCAGAGTCACACAAAGCTGTTAAGTTTTGTTTTTTAAGACTGACTGAAGAAAAATATAGTTTAGTGTACATAAATTGCGTTTTACTGTCCATATGTTGCTGTTCTCCGTTTCTATATGGATGATCTATTGTGTTCAAAATAAAGTAAATGATTGATAATGTTGTGTATCATGTTAATATTTGTTGTACTTAAGCAATTAAGATTGGAAATGGATATGTAAGGATAGGCACATATAAGCTGAATTGCTTCAACAAATACCTTTGCAAACTATACAACATAGGAATTATTGCTATTTGACTTCATTTTGAATTTCATTGTAGTGGGAGTGTTGATTGACTGTAATAACTATTATTAGTTTTTGAGTGTGTTTTAGCTCAAATCTAAGTCTTAATCAGACCACACGACACCGGGGAGAGTAGGCATTTGTTTACTTTTATTAAAGGCTTTTTAGAAACCAGTCACAAATTCTGCACTGATGTCAAAGCCAAAGGTGTCCCTGCACCGAGAAGGACAACTCCTGACCGCTCACATACAGTATTTATGTGACAAATAAAACCTGATGGAGTTGGCAGTCTGATAACGCTTATAAAGAGTAAAACTGATGGCAGCTACTGTAGGTGATTGTCATTTAATACATGTTTTACAGCACAGGCAAAGGATTTATTTAAATTACGATGGATGGTAGGCTTGACATCACACCCTTGTCTTTCTACAAGCTTATTGGGGCGAAGGTTACAGGAAAAGGTTAATAGATGAGAAATAAGTTAGGAGGAGCTAAACCAGTTTGTTATAGACATGGCGAAGGTGCTTTTCAGGGAAAACACTGACATCAATCAATGACAAACTAAATCAAGCCAATAATTACAGTTCACCCACTCCTTTCCTCGCAGCAAAATTACCAAATTCACAATTTCACAAACAATAATAATGGTAATAATAATAAAAAAACACTTCAAGTTAAATAAATTGTCATGATAAGCAGTGACTCATATGGAACAGGTACATTATCCTTCTCTTTAATGCAACAGTGCATTTTCACTGTGAAGTACTTTTTTTTTTTTTTTTTAAACACTAATGCCCCTGTGAATCCACCTGACTTCGCATGCCATCGAACTTCATGTTCTGTAAATTAAAAGTCACAATAAAAACTTTACATCTGTCAGCACAGAGGGCCTTCAATAAATATACGAGACAACTGAACGTCAGTCGGAGAGAACTTCCTGAGGAGCAGAAAGATGAGGGTCGAACTATCATCTGTACACAGTCTCTACAGCTGACCTATAGCTTCTGCAGTTACACTATTACAGTAGGTTTCTGAGGATATTAATGGCACGATACATTTAAAAAGAGTAAACACTTTAAAAGGCTCATCCTCCCCGCCCAGTTTGTTCCCTAAAACAAAATAAATAAAAATAACAGGATGAAACATGGTCTCCAGTCATTCCAGTGCAACAGATGTGAACACATGAAACACAACCTTCCACAGCCATGATGTTTTTTTTTTTTTTCATTTTCACCTCAGTTGGGATTTTTAAGTGTGAAAAAGGGCTAGCCAGCGCCCATTACATCACTTTCTGTTTTGTTACAGTACTTTACAGATAAAAGTTAAATACTTAAACAGGCTTCGAATAAAAGGAGGAAATGGAGAAAGAAAGTGAGAGCAGAGAAAAGTACACGAGAGACGGCATCAGTAGGAATTTATATGAAGTGATTTTCCCTGTAATTGTAGTCTCTACAGCAGTAAACTTCTCCACAGAGTAAACACACATAAAGGGAAGGAGGAAGGAGACGCGGTGTCCCTCTCCGACGTACCAGAGCTTCTCGCTAGTGTCCGAAAGGAGAAAGTTTATTCCAGTTTTCATAGCTTAACGTTTCGCTTTTTCCTTTCTGGACATTTTCTATTTTTTTCTTCTCGATGAATCCTGCTCATCATGCTTGTTTCCTTTTTTTTTGTTTGTTTGTTTTTTGCTCTTGATGGAGTTTTTTTGTAGTAAAACACCAAAGTACCAGCTTCAGGTTCCTTCACAGTCCGGTTTAGTGCAAAGAGAACACACACATCTCCTCGTCTGGTGGTGGGAGAGTTAGATCCCACCCCGCCTCATGTCTTTGCCAGAACATTTGACCTGAGGAGACAAAAGAAGATTATGAAACCTTATAAGAATTTTTCTTTGTTGGGGTTTACCATACTGGTAAATTAAAAGGATTACTTTAAACCTAAATCTGCTAGGGTAAGAATAATTTGAGCTATACAGTAGAGTGTAGGACATTAAGCTAACTTCCATCTGAGAGAATTTACTCTCTATTTTACCCTATTTTGTTCATCAACATTGCTAATTTTTTCAGCAAAATTACTAAAATGTTTCGGTGATTATTCTAGTTGCCATATATATTAAGGCATGATTAATTGTATGCTAGTGTCAGAACTTTACACCGTTTCAAAAATCACGCATGCAATATTTCTGCACCTGTTTCTGCCAATATGTAATAAATTTTGGCCTAATGTGTTTATACACATCAAGGTAGATCATGTTCTACAGTCTAGACCAGTGGTTCCCAACCCTGGTGATTCCCACCTGAGTGCTTTCCACCTGTCCTTCTCCACCTGGTTCTCAGGACTTTCACTTTCATATGACGCAAGGTAGAGCCCTGGGGAAGGGCAAGATAAAGAAATGTATTTAGAACATTATTGAGTTAAATAAATAATGAAAAAAAACTGTATGCAGCCAAGGAACTCAGTTTGCAAGCTGCAGTGTTAAAGAACATTTTAATGTTCAGAGTGCTAGCGTGTTAGTCTTTGCTTTTAGCTCTGAAATACAAATTTGTTGACATAAAATGCAGAATGTAAGGAGATCAATTAAACTTGATGCTTCTTGGATTTTTTAGCACTAAATTTTATTTTATTTATGCTTTATATCAAGAAGAAAAAAAACATACATTTTTATTATTTTAACTCGATAAAAGTGTTAGCAACCATTTCACAGAACAGTAACCTTTTATTTGAAGGGGTGTGCATAAGACTGGCATGACACTGTCATAGACATGACATAACACCTGTTTTAAACATGGACGTTTACAACTGGTGTCATGAAGTGTCTTTTGGTAAATGATTACACTTTCAATGCAAAGTTTCACTAAAAATTGCATTAAAGTACAATTAAATTGTAAACTTTGCATTATTTGGTAAATAATTGCATTTTTAATGCAACGTTGACAATTTTAATGGTCTTTTTAATTAATGTTTCAATGAAACGTTGCATTAAAAGTGTCATTATTTACCGAATGGCATTTCATGACAACAGTTGTAAACTATTATCATCTTCATCTTTATAACAGGCATTGTGTCATGTTTATGAAAGTGTCATATCAGTCTTATGTGCACCCCTTCAAATAAAATATTACCAACAGAACAATGGGATGTTACAATAGTGACAAATAAATGTCAGTCAAGAAATGATCTGGGTTTCAGAGTTTTAATCAAATTTCTCTTTTATTCTCACACCTGAAAGAGAGCATGGGAAAATAGGGCTGTCGACTTGCGTAACTGAAACGGTTCTCACCGTCCTCGCTGAAGATGGGAGCGGTGTGGAGGTAGTGCAGGATGGCGCGATCCTCTTCAAACGGACACTCCACCTGTTTCCACGTCATAAACTCTCCAACTTGTCGAGCCAACTCCACAAATTTCTAAACAGAAAACCAACCAAACAGTAAATATTGAGTCACGTGGAAGAAATTGAATGAAAAAGTGGGGAAGACGCTCACCTCGAAGTTGACGTGGCCATTGGGCAGTCGGTTAGCGCAGCCTTCATTCAGGAAGTAGATGTCTTTAATCAGCAGGCTGAAGAAGGGAATCACAATCTGAGGAGGACAAAGACAGGAAGACAGTTTAACCAAAGCAAGGAAACCTTCTGAATATGAGCAGTCATGCTGATGCCTCACCCTTTCTCTGTTGCTGTTGGCAGTCTGAGAGCGATGGGCAGCTCCCCTCAGGGCGGTCCTGTAGTTATAAAAGTTTCCTGTGGGATCCATCTGATGCTGCAAAAACGAACAACAACAAAACAGTCAGCTTGAAGGTAGCACTTGCTTATTTTAAGAAGTCTGTGAATGGATCTGTGTTTACCTCAAGAATAAAAAATTTGGCAGTTTTGGTTTTGCTCCAAGTCTTCTTCAGTCGTGCTACAGGAGTCATGTTCATACCAGCTGCAGAGAAAATTAATTTTATTATCTAAAAATCAAGGATAGTGAGCAACAGAACTGTCCATTTGAACAATTCACAAAATCCAAAGTGAGCAAACAAAAGTAAAATAGAAATCCAATCAGTTCTTGCTGTTACCACCTTTCTGGCATAAATACTTATAAGTACAGGATTATAGTCAAATATGTGGTCCAGCAATGAATGAACGTGTAGTTGTCTTAGCCAATCTCTGCTGCCAAACTGAAGTTGTGGAGGACAGTTTTGAGGGACAAGCATTTTTCTATTTTTGTTTACAGGCCAACAAAAATAATACAGCTAAAACCTTTGCATATCACAGAATGCACTGTAAAACCGAGAACTCACAAATGATCGCCATCAGGGAGTTAAAGTTGCCAATGTTGAAACACTCTCTGGCCACATCAATGAAGAACTCAATCACTGTGGCTCTCTGCTTCTTCTTGGCTGGCTGAAAGAAGTTCACAGAATACATTTGTTTTCCTTTAAATTTTCTCAATTTTGCTTGAAGCGTATATTAAAGTTTTCTGACAGAGGACATTGTAGTTATGTAAAGCATCCACCAGGGGGCAGTAATGCTCCGTAAGACACCCATTGGTTTGGTTATTTAAATATTCAAGAAAATTGAGAAAAATGTAGCAATTTTTTTGGATAAACATAGCAGTATTCTGACATTATCTTCATATAATACAACTACTTAAATTTATAAAAATAATGCTCCTCATCAGAACAGTATAACATTAAGTGGTATTTTCTCTAAACTCAAGTGACAGAATAGGGAATTGCCATCATTCTCCCTCACCATGCAGATTTCTGTTGCTACCAGGTAACACAGTCTGTTGAACCATCTGACGTAGGCCTCAAGGTTGGAGGTTTTCTTCTTCTGCTCGCTGAAAGATGGCTGCCGTTGACACACACACACACACGCACACAAGTTGTGAGCCACTACAGTGATTTGTACCAACACTAATTAGCTTCCTATGTGCAGGCTGAACCCCTCTGAGAGTGTAAATGGCAAAGACCGCGAGCGGCAAGTACACACGACAGGACTGCTGGAGAGAAATGGAAGATGACCAGCACAGGATCAGCAAAGGCAACAGGAGTTCAAGACATAAGAAGGGGAAAAGAAATCTCAATGGTTACATCAAAACGTCCAACATTAGATGGAGGAACAGCTTCATGTTTGTTTGCTGTTTCATTCAACATTCACTGAAGGTTGACATACATAGATAAATTTGAATGTACTGCACTATCAACACAGTTTTTGTGTTGTCTCATTCGTCCAAGGAGTTAATTTTCTGACTAATTTAAGGTCAAAATAACCTTTCAGTGTTGATGATGTTACTCCTCCTTGGACAAATGAGATTAGATTTACTATTCAAGTATGCATATTTTGCATTACTGATAATGAAGGTTCAGTGACATATATTCCTCACTCAAACTCAGAAAAATCATTCATCTAGTTCAAGATACATTTTACTGTTATAAATTTGACATCTAAAATTGCCTCATTTCAATGTCTTGGGAAAAAATCATATTGTTCTAAGTCAGTGTAGAATTGTATCTAAAATTATGATTAATCACTAATCTATAAATAATCTACTTTTAGTCAGTGAATACTCTGGTTTGCTCAGACATTTTTTAGCAATCATGGCTCACTTTTATGTGCATGGTTAGGGAATCCAAATTATAGCTCTGCATGTTTATTTTCATCTAACAAATCCAAATTTTCCTAAAAAATATAAGTGAAAATCATTTTTTAGAAAGACATTCACGGTAAAATAAATGCACTATCTTGTAAAAAAAAAAAAGTTTGTCTTTATTCACACATATTAATTTAGGTGACATAAAATTTTTAATCTACAAGACTATATGGACTGGACACACAACTTGTAGCTGTAACAGCTTCAAATCCACTTTGAAAGAAATCCACAAGGTTTAGGTTTAGTTGTGTGTTTATGGTATTTTATAAACATTGTTCTGGAAGTGCATTTGTGAGGTCAGACGTTGATGTTGGGCAAGAACTTTTGTCTCGCACTTTTCACTTGAATTCATCCCAAACTTGCTGTTTCAAACCAAACAACAGACCTGATTACTGAGTACCGCATGTTGAATTGGCCTGTATATTTTATATATTATTTAGTAAATTTGTGGATTCAAAGTAATAGACCATCTTGGGGTGGTACAGAGCACCTCTAGAGCTTATTACTAATCATGTAGCAAATGTCTTTAACTCTAGTTCATTAATTATTAAGTCTTATTTCTTACTAAAATAGCTGTTTAAATGTTTTTCTTTTAGTTTATTTTTTTTCTTTTACTTTGGTAGTCCCTATATGCTGTAATTGTGAAAATATAAACATATTTATAAATATACATCCCAAAAGCTTACCTGTGTTCCATCCAGAGGATCTTTCTGAACAAAGGCTTGGACAAACTCCTCTGGCCCAATATGGCTTAAATGCTCCTGGAAAACATGCAGTCATATTTTATGCATTTTCATCAGTTTTTCTAATTGTATTTATTTATTACAAAATAATTTTAAAAAATCCACACAAAATGCTTAAATACATTAAAGCCACAACAACATGGAGTGTAAAACTGGGCACAGACACATGGGCTGGAGCCATCTGATTAATAAGTCTTTCATTTCAGTAATGGAGGCAAATCAATAGAAGGAAGTAATGACTCACTGATGTGACTCACTGCTATCATATACCCAGCGAGCGGCACTAGAGACAATATCCACTTCTATTAAAATATAGTGGCAAACTTGCAGTCATGTGCAACTCAAAATGACTCAATAGACCCATCACGCCTCGAGATCAAATTCAGATCTGATAAGGAACCGGACGACGAGTTGTTAGTCAGTACCAGCATAATGTTTAAATCCTCATAAGACATCATAAAATCCAGAACGTGTGAGCTGTACACGCCTACTTGTCTGTCTCTGCCTCTCTTCTTTATCTGTGTGTGTGTAGGTGTGTGTGCGTGTGTGTGTGTGTGTCAGAGTGTGAAGCTGTCAGGTCATATATATCTGCAGTGGTTTTATCCCCCGTGTTCGCAGCCCTGGGCATTTTGCTGACTTCTGTGGTGATGTCACCACTCAGACAAGAGTGCAGGCTTACTCAGGCATGCTGAAAAAAAAATCCACTACGGAAGTGCAGTCAAATGTGTTAATGGACGCTGCAGTTTTTATTTTTATGATATATAGTTATATATACTTTATTACACGTGATTCCTAGGAACCACTTTTTTTCCCGCCATACCTCCTAGTCCCTTTCCTTTTAATGATTTTTGTCCAAAGCTCAGGACCCTGAAATGGGCTAATGCTTCATCACCCTTAGAGCCCTCACTTTCCCGAGCATCCACTCTCCTCGTTACCGTCTCTTCCTCTGACCTCTGTCTGACCCCTCTGTACTACTCTGCCTCCCTCAGGACTCACCAGCTCCACGTGGGTGAGCTGCTGTGCCAGCGTGTAGGGGTCATTGCAGATGGAGAGCATGTCCTTCTGGATGGGCGGGGGCTTGGTCTTGAAAGCCACGAGCTTGTCGGAGATGGAGGAGGCGTTGAGGGAGACTTTGATGATGCTCTCTTCCCCCTGGCTCATCAGGGCCAGCCTCTGGCTCAGCTTCTGCAGCATCTGGTTCAGGGTTTTCCAGTACGCCTAGAGAGGAGACGAACAGGGAGGGCAGACGAGCAGATGAGTGAGGAAGCTATCAATAACGTCTTTGATGAATAATTTATTAATGGTCTTGTAGGACAGCGATAGGCGTGAATCAGAATGACTAGAGTGCTACGTAGTGCGGACTCTGAAACAGCGTGACGTGTTTGAATAAAAATCTTAAACATTTTCTCACTTCAAAACCAAAAACTTTAACGGATTTCATTGAGATCTGTTGTGATAGACCGGCAGCACTGCATAGCGCAGAAGTGGAAGAGACTCTGGTGATCTGTAAACTCATGAAAAGTGTGAGAAAAGCATCTGTCTCACAATTTTCTTCTTTTTTCTTTTGCAAAAAATGTAATTATTTGGTATTCAGCCCCACTGAGATAATAATGAGAAAACTCATATTTTGCTGCAATCACAACGGCATTGTGTTTTCCAGCTTTTTCATTATTCTCTGCAAATTAACTGGAGCTCAATCAAATTTCAGACCAGGCATCTGTGAACGTCATTTTTTAGGTTTTGCCACTGATTCTCAATTGGATTTATGTCTGAACTTTGACATCAATTCTTTTGCAAGACACCGTAGTTTCGAGGAATTAACATATAAAAGTGCTAAAATGTTACTGGTTGTTTCTGTTTCAGTGATTTGCTCGGCGTGTTGTGTTCAAGAATGCCTGAATCTCGGAGCCCCTCCTTGCAGATGGCTCCACACAGAGGCCATTAGGTCAGTCTGTCTCACAAATGACCCAGAGCCACAACTCCCACATGCATGCACACGCCCATGCTGAGGACAGCCAGCTGTAAATAGCAGCGCATTCATCACCACCTGCCCAGCCTCCCCTCCTCCTCTTCCTCTTGTGCTCGGACTTCATCTCTCTCCTCCTTCCCCTTTTTTCTTCTCTCTTTCCTCTCTGTGGCTCCGCATCCCTTTTCTCTCTGTTCTCCCTCACCGTCACTCCTTTAATAGCCTCCTCCCTCAGCTCCACTCTCCTGCAGTGTAACATTGTGCAACAGCTGGGCTCCTCAGCTGACACTGTCTCTCTGACTTTTTCTGTCAGAGAGGATAAGAAATCTTCCTCTTCATTAATTCTGTTTACACGACAACTCTTTCTCACTCCAAATTTGTCAAATATGGATGACGGGTGTTCCTCTTGAAGCCAAAGGATCCCTCTGAATTGTGACAGTTTTTGAGATGCAGGGAAGCAAAGAAATCCCAGTGTGTCAGCGACGGTTCCCTGAGGACATCTACCCTGAGGGTGAAGTCTTCTGGAGAGTGTGATTCAATATCCAACTTTTCGACTTTTTTCAAGCTCCAAACACTAAACACTGATTCTGTCAGTCTTCAATGTGCCAAACTCAACTGCAGATCAGTCCCCTGCTCACCGAAAACAGAAATTCAGTTAAACTGTGACAACAGGAGATTTGGGTGTAAGATGAATGGGGATTATGAAAAAAAAAAAAATAGACATAATGGCATCAAGGCTGTCTGTCCTCGATACATAGAGCCTTGCAGTATTCAGAGCCAATGAACGTTTTCATATTTGGTCTCATTTCAGCTCCAAGTTTCAGAAGATTTTACAAGGATTTTATGTGATAGACCAACACAGGGTAGTGTATAATTATGTAGAAAATTAATTCATGATATTCACATCTTTCAAGATGCGTTGTGTGCATTTGCATCCAACTCTTTTCTCCCCCAATACTGCTAAATAAAATCCCATAATGAGAAAAAATCCATCGATCCGTGCATCATCTGCAGCTGCTCATTCATGCAGGGGGGAGAAGCCCAGCTCCAGGGGACACGCTGGACACACCACCAGTCCATCAAGTGGCAACACAATCATGCACACACTCATATTTAAGAAAAATTTAGAGAGACCAATCACTGTATCAGTTGTGCTTTTGGATTGGGAGGAAGCCAGAGTACCCAGAGAGAACCCATGCATGCACAAGGAGAGCCTGCAATCTACATGCAAAAAGACCCCAGGGTCAGATTCAAACCCAGGGCCTTTATGCTGAAAGAAAACAGTCATCTTCCATGCAACCATCAGTAAAAAATGTCCATTTTAAATTGCAAGATTTTGCTATAACATCTCCGTAGAAAGATAACGTTAGCGTACCTCATCACATGGAGCTATCCTGTGGATGATGTCTTTAAGGTGACCGACCATCTTCTCGTCCCTGAAGTCTGTTGGGAACGTTTCCGTCCATTCTGTCAGCAGCTGCAGAATCTTAGGACCAAACTTGCGTACCTTAACCTGTCAATAAGCAAATTAAAAATGTTAAAAAAAAAAAAAAAAACGGCTGCTCTTGAGATTTCCTGCTCTTTAGCTGCATCGGGCACAAACACACCATAAAATGTGTAAAAACGTATGGCGCGGCACTGACCGTATCGAGCGGGCTCTGATCCAGCTGCTGCTGCTTGATACACAGCTCACATACCCTGGAGAGCAGCTCCACGGGAGGAATGAACAGACGGGCGCTGAGCAAGAAGGCAAACACATAGGCTTTCTGTGAAAAGAGACAGGAAGACATTAAGCGAGACGCTCCCACAACAGCATCTATAAAAGCAGCCCTGCTGGCTGTAATTAAACTAAGCAGGGACTTGAGGCTAATAATCAAATTAGCACGCCTGTCACCGAGACTGTAAACTGAAACAACTCTCTCAGGCCGCACTTCAGTCTTTTAGTGTTTTGGGAGATTTTTTATCTGAAAGCTGATCACAGAGAGGGTTTTAATCAAGCTGACACAGAGACACGCGGAAGCAGGTCATCAACAAACTGAGAAAAAAGACAAAAAGGCTTCCTCTCATCGGGGGTTGTGTGAACTCAAACAAAGTTAAAAGACATATTAGGAATTTAGAGTACAGAGTTTTGTGTTGCTGAGTCACTGATTCAGAACGTTTTCACATTTTAGCACATTAAAACCTTAAACTTCAACGAATCTGCTTGACATTTATGAGAATCAACATCTCAAAGTAGGACAATTGCAAATACAAATTACAACAACAAAAGTGTAGCATGAGTTTGATTTCATCCCCCGAGTAAATACTTTAGAAACCACTGCTGCCGTGTAACCTTTGTGACACTGAAATATATGAATCTAAACCACATTATTGCAGCTCTGATTTTATGTTCAATGTATTTGGATTATAAGGAGAGTCAGTGCTACTCTATCAAGACTTTTGAGACCTTTCGTAGGTCTCAAATGCCTAAACTGACAAAAAGCTCAGTTTAGGCATTGATCTTGTTCTGCATGTTTGACAAACTCCAGGCAAAAAACTATAGTTTTGATACTAAGACTAGATAAAAAGGGTTTGAATACAAATGGTAATTCCAGTTTTTACTTTTCTTTTCAATGTAAAAAAAAAAAAAAAGAAGAAAAAGTAAAAACTGAAGTCTATGGTTGAAATAAAAATGGGAAAAGCAGGAAGTTTGATTCCAGACTCAGACACCAGTCCTATAAAATAGCTTTAGGAATGTAAGAAGAGCAATCATCAGGGAGACGAGGACTTCAGCTCTTGGAAACAGAGTCTGGAGTAATGCTGGTCCATGTCATCAACCACAAGAGTTCAAATAAGAGTTCATTTCTGTTTGAACTCTTGTATTATGTAATTGTTTTCTGGCCTCTCTGTGTTTCTCACTGTTCCTAAACTTTAGTCATCTTCATTCTCAATATTTAGTCTTTTAACCATTTCACATTCTTCTGGGGATTAGTAAGACATCATTTAATTCAATAAGGTAATTTAGTTCACCTCAGGGTAATAGTCCGCAGTGGGCACCAGGTTCTGGATCAGCGTCTCCAGGGAAGCAGAGGTGATAGGAGGCCCGTCAGCCAAACAAGCTGCTGGCCCCGGGCCCTCTTGAGGGGCCCCATCCTCTTCCTCCTCCCCAGGCTCAGCGCAGGCCAGGTGGGGGCTGAAACCACTGGAGGTGGTAAACATGGTGCCTGAGCACACAGTCTGGGGCATTCCTGACTACAACACAAACACAGAAAACACACTGTGAGTGAAGCAGAATGAGGAAGAGGAATAAAGGAAATATGTAAATGTAGGCCCGTCTCCACATACCTTCCTAGCAATAACAACAAATACTAACTCAAACATTGTGCTGTTAGATATGTGGACATTCCCACTATCTACAGTAAATCTGGTGTCCAAAAAGGGAAGTGAGTTGGACTGAAGACAAACTCAGATTCACAGAATAGTGAAGAATAATTGACAACCCATTCAGCTCAGCATCCTGATTAGTTCTCCTATGTTTCTTGTAGCCATGTGATATTTTATTCATAGGACCAAAAAGCTGCCAAAATTGCTAGAATAATTTTTGTTCACCTGAATAAAATACTGAGAGCTATGTTGCACTGAATTCCCATAACTATTTGCACAGTTATTCCATGGTGTTTGTTGAAGGTGGCTGGCTGCTTCTTCTTTCTGTACTGTAGTGGAGAAAGAAGAAGCATGGATTTGACAGAATCCATGCTAAAAAAGCTAAAGAATTCAATTCAAAGTTTACAAAACACAGCGCAACATACTTTAATAAAGTACAACGGTAACTAATATAAAATAAATGCCTCAAAACTAAGAACTCTGTTTCTACAACCGAGATCGTGCACTTTGGTGCAGTTTTTGGAGTAGAGAAATTATAGTTACAGGATGGGACATAAGCTTTGATGGCTTTATGGGGATCTTTTAATTCATTTATTTTCTACTGGATAGAAAACTACCACCTTTCTCAAAGGAGCTGCAACACATACATCAATCAGAAGACTGATCAATGCATCATTAATTAATAAGATGATTTATTTTAACCTTATTTATCCTTGTATGCAAGTATAAATAAGTATAAATAACAAGTATAAATGTTCATAAATCATGTCTGATGAAGTTAAGTCATCCTTCCTCACTCTCCTCTCAACTTGATCCACTTGGGTCTGTATAGGCCTTTATTTTTACTGATTAAATTTGAGCTTTTTCCTATTCAATGTTAATCTTCACAGCAGATATTCTCCCCTGTCTCCCAAAGAGACAGGGGAGAATAAAAATGGGTCACTAGAGTCGCTGTGGAGACCGCTTTACCCTGCGAGCAGTTACATGGCCCCACCGCTGCCCTGTACTTCTTTGTCTTCACAAAATCAAAGAGCCTTTCTCAGTGCACACAAGCTACCAAACCAGAGAGCACCGTTATTCTCAGAGTGGAGGTTTTATCACTTTCATCTCACAAACAGGAGAAATTTTGTGTACTGCAAGAGCTTTGAACAAGAAAGTTTCCAAAAAAAGACGTGCAGAAGAATCTGTGTCCCTCGTCTATCGTGGATGAAAACTGATGACGTCCACCTGCATCTTTAGAGTTGGTTTCAATCTCTAGGTAACCAGAGCGCCTAAAAACAAAACAGTTCTACATCCAGGCGACAGAAGACAGCCTGTAAACCACCAGTGTTGACGGTGCAACCTTTGGTAATACTGATTTCAAAAGTAATCACTGTATCTCCTGCCTGTTTGTAGTCAAGACAACAGCCAGAGCAGATTCAAAATACATGCAGAACTCTCAGCTACGACTCCACCATTTCTATCTCTACAAGTGTTTGGAAATAATTTATCATTTTTCATCCATGCTCCAGTTTTGCACTACTTTGAGGGTTTGTGTTGTAAAAAGGAAAAGAAAAAATCTAGAGAAAATATATTTAAGTTTCTGGTTGCAAATGTTTTTGCAAGGTAGCGCTTTACTTAACTCCAACAAATCAAAGAAACATTACATTTTTGAAAGAATGCACAACCATTTTGTTCTTATTCTGGGTTTGCTACTTTGATTTTACTCTCCTATCCTTTGGGCTCCAGGGGTGAGAGGTCAATCACAATCCCCATGCTGAAATAAAACAAAACTCATGTCTCAGATTTTCATCAGGGTTTCAGCTCTCCACTGACCCCCTACCTTTTTGCACTTATTCATGCACTTTTGCACACCTAGACACAAATACACACAGACAGGCAGACAAAGGGCTGGGGGATGGGAAGCCAGTCTTCATGTGCGCCGTTATTGTGGTGTTCCTTTCTACTTATAGCTACTGTTGACATTATTTATATGTGTCTCATAACGTCTGAGTTCAAAGAGGGCCGACACGGCATCCGCCTGCTCCATTTTCCGGAAAAGTAAAATACAGAACTATAACAGAAAATTTCCCTGGTAACCCGTGTGAACTAAATTAGTTTAGTTGAGGCATTATTTATTACTTTAGTGGGAAAATCCCAGTGATGCAGGTTTAATCTGTCCATTTGTGAAGAGTCAGAAGAAACCCCCCCAAAGCAGCTCTTAAATTTGCTTATCAGTGCTGCAGAAAAGCTGCGCTCCTCTCAAAACAGTTCAACCCTTTTTCTCAATTAAATTTTCCCAATTTGCCAAGCCTGGGGTGTCCTTTCAGCAACCTCCCCTGCATTGGATTACAACATGCCTCTGTATCAAAAAATCCCCAGACATGATCAAATCCAGCCTTCCTCTTTGACAACAGCAGCATAAAAGGAATAATTTATGGGAACTAAAAGAACCTTCCTCATGACGGTAGAAACATCTGCCCGCCTCTGATCGTCTCTGTGATATTATTTGAGGTATTTCACGCAAACTTCCACACGACTTTGCGTCTGATTGTTTCAAAGGCGTGTCTTTGAGCTCGATTCTACGTGAGCACAACATCAATCATTTTCTCTCTTTCTTGTAATAATCTGCAGCCGATTTTGTATTCCTCAGCTTTCCACACCTCCCACAGCAGTTTTCAGGCTCTGATTTACGATTTCATCACAGCTCTGCCAGCCAGCCTGCAGGATGTGAGCATAACTCAACTCATCAGTGAGCGTGTAAATAAACCAGTCATCAGTTTGTGACCTTGTCTGTCTGTTTCGTTAGGATTGAGCCCGAATGATTTCATGGTTCAGATAACAGAGAACAGGATAAACATGTACGGTTTAAGTTTTAAACAGGGAGGCCTGAAACACCTTGACTTTTGTCTCATTTATTCATTCAGGTGCAGATTTGCTGCTGTAATTGTGATATTTTTCCTGGAACATGTCAGAACTTAGAATTTTACAGTCACTAATGAGACTGAGTAAAGCTGGTATGAGACATTTGTGCTGCTGTCTTGCATTATAGGTAAACACTTCCATGCCACTGCAGTTCTCCTTTTAATAAGCAGAAAGTTTTGCATATAAATTTATGTCTACATTCAACAAGAAGAAGAAGGTTGAGGAAGTTTGTTCCTCAAATTACAACTTTGACATCACAATTTCACCTCCAGTGTTGGCTTGTTTTGAACAAAGCTTTGAACATTTTGCATTAAATATTTCTTTGTTTTAAGACTATTTTGAACAGTCCATGTGCTTACAAATGAATTCTTTTCAGACGCTACCAACAGGTGTTTTTCCTGTTTGACAAACAGTAATCGCGCCATGAATAGAAAGTTACAAAAATGTTGATGTGCACGACCGGCTTTTGACATTTGGTATGATGTGTTTGTGCCGCTACATTTTTCTCACCCAGCATGACGTCATATCACATCATCAACACATCATCACCTTACGTGTTCAAAAGAAACCATGTAAAAGTCTTGCAAAAATATTTAGAAACATTTTTAAATCCATTTGAAAAAGCTATATCTGAGCTTTTTTTTCCCCGTTTGTTCTTTTTTCCGAAGAAACAGTTTGTTTTTTTGGATTTGAGTCATCCCAGCTTGCAGAATAAATAATGTAAAAGTGTTAGAGAAGTATATATCAGGCTTTTTCATGGCTGATAAAGGTTCTTTAAGGGATGAACAGCCAGCTAAAAATCAGACTAATTCTACTTTTCTTTCTGAAAACTAAAGTACATTCAAGGAAAACAAACATAATCTGACAATCTAAGTCATTTTGAATGCAACAAAAAAGGAAAAGAAATCAAAAGATTATTCTGATATTTTTTTGAGAATATGATTTCTACTAAACTCAGGAAAGTGTATTAAACTATGCGCTCTTGGTTGATGCTTTCATAGTTGAAAATTGCATTTTTTGAAAAGGAAAAGGAAATTCAAGTCCATTTGAGGACTTGCTTGATGAGGACTGATTAAGCATAAATTGCTTGATTCTACTTTCTGCCTCACTGATTGCTAAAACCTTCTTTATTTATTTTCTTTCCATGCACCTAAACCTGAAACAAATCTCCCAGTAAAGTTACGGTTTTACCCCAGAGTAATTTCCAACTTCCCCATGGCCGCCTCTCAGCTCAGTGTTCAGAGTGACAGCCTCAACACTCCCACCACTTTTCTTGCATTGTCAAGAACCCATCCAAACATAAAGCTGCACTTTGTATATAACTTGTTTCCATACCACTCTATGCTCTGAGCTCCCACTGTGCCCATCATATTGCATCAACAATGCATGAAAAAACACTGAGAAACAAGCAGCTAAGAACAGGTGAGCGCGGCTGAAAGTGCTCCGATTCCCTCATGAGATCTCCAGCTGCCAGCCAATGGAAAGCGTCTCTGCATTTAGTCTAGACAGCTGAGTAAGTGTCATTGTTCAAGCTGTTATCACTGCCATCTGAGGGGGAGAGATCTACCCACTTTTTCTGTCAGCACCCTTGACTTTGGAGATCTCTGTGTGTGTGTGTGTGTGTGTGTGTGTGTGTGTGTGTGTGTGTGTGTGTGTGTGTGTGTGTGGGTGTGTGTGTGTGTGTGGCATGTCTTGATGGAACAATGGCATTCCTGCTTTGAGCTGTCAAGCAGCGACCAGACCGAGTTAATCTCTGCAGTAGCTTCAAACTTAGTCTCGGTAAAACCTGCCTCACCTTATAAATAGCACGGCTACAAATGACACCGTTGGCATCAAGACTTGATGAGGAACTGGCTCTTTTATTGAGGCGTTAATGGTTGAGAACAATCTGCATTAGCAACCTTCTGACCTTTTCCATTAGAGGGTCAAAGGCCGAACAAGGGCAGATGTACAGTAGTAGCTCA